TGAAAGCATTTGAGGTTCTGGAGTAAAATGGTGGCAAACATGGAGGTCTTAGTGAACCCAGAGAAAGAGAGAGAGAGAGCGCGAGAGAGAGAGTGAGCAGCAGAATTGAGGACAGGGAAGCTGGGAAAGTTTCTAGAATGTACACAGACCAGTTTTGTTTTCTCTACTTGCTTTGGGGATGAGGGTTGTCTTGAAGGAGAAGCCTGGGAGCCTGGGGCTTTGTTGAAATACTTTGTCAGAAGCCCAGGCTGGATCCTGCATGGCCCAGGCCCAGGCCCAGCACAGCAATGTGGAAAAAGGACAGCTTTGGTTGCAGTTGCGGGGCGAGTTGGGGGACACTGTGAAGACACTTCTAAGGAGAAGTCTTGGCTAGAATGTTCTGATGGCTAGAAAGATTGTTGGTACAACTTCCACGATGCACACGTGAATCCCATTGACACAATCACCTTGGAAGTCTCAGGGCCTGATTGGTGTCAATCTGTAAGTTATCCCATGACCTAAGAAGTCTCTAGATACAGAGGAAAGAGACTCAGCCCTGTAGCCATGTCTGCCTGGGATAGATTTTTGGGGTGGATTCAATTGGGCTTGATATATTTTCATGAAGGGTTTGGTACCTGGTACATGAGAAACTGAAGTTCTCTTTGTTTAAAAAAATATTTTATGTTTTATTTGTGTGTGTGTGTTCATGTGTGTCAGTGCTCATGGAAGCACAAGGAAGGCATTGAATCCTCTGGAACTGGAGTTACAGGCAGTTGTGAGCTGCCAGACAGGAGAACCGGGACCAGATTCCAGTCCTCTGCAAGAGGAGCAAGTGCTGAGCCATCTTTTTGGCTTCCTTTTGATGTTCTTTAAAATTATATGTATGGATGCTTTGGCATGTGTGCCTATGCACCGCCTGGGTACCTGGTGTTCATGGAGGCCGAAAGAGAGTGTCAGATTCTTTGGAACTGGAGTTACCGATCGTTATGAGCTACCATACGGGTGCTGAGAATTGAACTCAGGTCCTCTGCAAGAGCAGCAACTGCTTTTAACTGCTGAGACATCTCTCCAGCCCTCTATGCTTTTCCTTGCAGTCTTAAACTAATTTCTTAAATCCCGGCAGTGTTTAAAAAAATAGTCATTTTACTCCCCTAGTAATTTCAGAATGTTTATTTTAGGTTTAGGCACAGTTTATAACTCTATATAATAAGTGAACTGGTGAATGAGCTTAGCAGGGTGTTCAGCCAACACAATTGCCTCAGAAGTGTCTGAAATGGGCTTGTGAATCTTTTTCATGACCAGCTGCCACTGGATCTTTTCAATCATGTGGAAAACAAGTCTCAAGGCAGTGGGTAAAATGGTTTCTCGAGGGATGATCGAGTCCCAAGGCATGGCATCAAGAGGCCATTCTTCAGCACATCAACCAAGAAGAGTAAACACTGCAGTCTGCCTCAAACCCAAAGTGTGGCTTTTGCAGAATAAAGATTTATGATCTGCGTGTAAACGGTGATGAATAACTTGGCAATCCATGTTTTCTGGCACAAGCTGTCAAAAGTAACGAGCCATAGTGTGTTCCAGAGTTCATCTGGTTGTGTGCGTTCCCTATAAAATATGGAATACAGTGGGCCACGATTTGTCTGAGTCTTTGTACAATTCTCCTCCAATTACTGTGCTTCTAGTCCTGTCACCAGCGGAGAACAAATGGGCTGATAATTACAGCCTCAGATAGACTCCCGTAGCCCACATCTCCCTGAGCTTCACTGGCCCCTGTGTCTAATGGGGTCACAATATGAATCATAACTCAAACTTTATTGTCTTTTACTAATGCTCCCTGGTCCCCCCGGCCCCCTTGGCAGTGACCTCCAATTCAGGGCAGAGTTCTCCTCATGCGTCTCAGGATCTCTCTGGGGACACCTCACTCGTCCTTCTATGTAAGTCTGCAGCTTTGCAGTACCGTCTTGCTATGAGCATTCGGTGTCCTCGCCGCATTTGACATCTTGCTGTCTGTGGCTGGGCCTTACCATTTCCCATCAGTCCCAACATATGTTTTTCATGCTCCTAGCATGTGAACTGATAGTGTGTGGCAAGCTGGGAAAACCAAATTTGTCTCTATGATCCCCTCTGCTGTGTGCGCATGTGTGTGTGTGCGTGTGCATTCATGTGTATAATTTGTGATGCTTGCATCCTACATTATTATTTTAATGGAGTGGCATTCCTACTTATATTTGCAGCCTCCAAACCAAGTAGGACCCCATGTGTCTTTCCTAAAATCTTTGCTTTCTAGAAGTGGCTGCTTCTTCCTGGAGAATATTTCTCTCTTGGGAAACCTGTCAGTTTCCAGTGCAAAGAGCATCTCTCTCTGCCATTCCTCAGAACTGCTGAACAAATACAAATCCCAGATAAGCTCAACCTGGGACCTGCATTGCATTTTCTCCCCAGTGAAATACTCGCAGCTTTTTTGCAAAGGGTTTTCCTGTTGCCCGTGACTTCCTTCTTGGAAGGCAGCGAAGTGAGCTGTATGGAAACCAAGGCGCCGCTGTATCTCTCTTGGGCTGGTTCTCGGACTGTGCTTTACTGTTCATATTAGACCATGGTCCTGTATTGCTGCCTGGTTTGCCTAGTAGACACGTGATACCACGTGTGTCTTCATTTCCAACTGGCTCTGTTGGGAGCAGCAGCTGTTTGTAAGAAAAGCCACGGAGAACTGTCACAGATGTAACCGTCCTAGAGGGAGTTCTGAGGAAAGAGTACGTATTTCGCATAATTTGATTTATATTGCTTTTTTTTTCAATTAGCAATAATTGTGCCTTGTGTAACCTCATTGGCTATGATACTGCCACTGCACAAAGCTATATTGCTTTTTGTTTTTTTTATCTGCTCTCTATATCTAACTTCAGAGAACCACCCTTGTAAAGATACGATTAAAGAAGTTGAGGTTAAAAAAATATCAAGGAACCTGGAGCATTCTGAGCCCTGCCAGGCTGTTCTGAGTCTTCAGTTACCTTCCCTGGAGATAAACTGGAAACAGCTTTCTGAAGACGGAGGAGGCCTTAACGTGGAAGGAAGCTGAAGGCTGTTTCTTTCTGAAGTTTGGATGCTGTTCTAGGGATTTAGGATGGACTCTCTGTCATCTTTTGGGATGACTTCATGTCACACCACTGGCTTTTCATGAGCCATGAAGGACACAAATCCAGGTCACAGATGGCTGGTTACAGTGAGTAATGCTTTCAAGCTCTGCGCTCTCCCGATGCAAGGATGACTGATGGATGGCTGGGAAGTATGCACTTAACCTTTGCAGAGGTTACTGCTCAGCCAGCTAGCCCACGCCAAGAGTCAAAAAAATCCAGGGGAACCAGCTATAACAAGTGACAAGAATTTGGAAATAAAAAGCATCCAGATTCCCAATATTACAATTTTTTTCTTTGTTCTCTTAGGATTTAAGAACAAAAAAGAGTGAGAAAGGGGGCTTGGGAATTTGAGTCCATACATTTTTGGCATTAACCAGCTAAACAGAAATGCAAGTACAGGTGCTTGGGGAGGGTTTATGTTGAATGCACGCAATTTATTAAAAGGGACAAATTGACATGAGAGAAAAAACATTTTCACATATTCTGATTCAGTTTCCCTTTGTGGAATAGAAAGAGATACTTTCAACTTTCAATCTTTTTTTTTTCCTGGAAAATGTTGTGTACATTTGTCTTCTAAGAATCTTTTCTGATTGTAGAGTATTAAACACCTATGAAAGAAAATCAGTAAATTCCAGAAGTTTATCACCACTCATGACTGTTACATTTTGTTTATTTTATGGTGTCTTTTTCTGTACGTATGCATTGTTCTAGTTTTATTTCTGTTGCCGAGACAAAGCACATTGACCAAAAGTCACTTAGGGGAGAGAAGGCTTATTTAGTTTGCAGATCAAGTTTTGGTGGATCTCTGAGAGATCTAGTTTTTTCCTGTCTTGCATGGTTCAGGTCCCCTTGCCTAGGAATGGTGCCACCCAGAGTGGACTGGGTCTTCTTACATCAATTGGCAATCATGACAGTACTCCACAGATCTACTCAGAGGCCTACTTAATCTAAACAATTTCTCAATCTAGTCTCTCTTCTCAGATGATTGTAAGTTGTGGCAGGTTGACATGTAAAACCAAACATCATGCATACTCTAATGACTGCATTCGGCTATAGTCTCCTAATTATGTTTGTTACCTTTGTTCATTGATAATTTCTCAATGGAGTATTATTAAATATTATAGTCATCCAGCACATCAGTAGATATTCTCCTACTGCTGAAGATTTTATTCTGATGGTTCAAAACATCACAAATATCATTACAATGAAGACATCCATGCGTCTATCTTTGATTGGGTTTCAGAAACATTCCTTAGGGCAACATGAATGAAAATGAGCAGAAATAACAGAGAAGAGAAACAGACCTGGAGGGTTCCACACAGTGTCACTGTGCCACAAATTTTGTGATAAAAACGTTCAAGGAGATAAACAACAAGGTTGAGAATTTTAACAGAAAATTTGAAGACAAGAAAATGACATAATTATCCATTCTGTCCAGGGAAAGAACCCACCAAAAACTAAGGTGAGGTAAAGACGTTTCCCGACAAACAGAGGCAGGCTAGTCATCGGTGGCCAATCGACACCACAAGAAGTGGTTCAGACAGAAGAAAATGATCGCAGATAAAGTCTAGAGCTGTAGGAAGAAAATGAAGTACACTGAAAAGGGTATATAGGTGGGCGTTGTAAATAACGTTTGACTATTCTAAACAACAAAGATATAATAAGGCAATTAAAACACTCTAGTCTTATGACAACCCTAAGAGATAGCTCAGAACCGCCCATTTATAATTGATTTATTTATGTGTTTGTTATTTTTGTGTGTGAATAAATGAAGTGTTTTACTATGTGTACACATATGGATGTACTTACCCTTGTGTGCTCGTAGGGGGTCAGGGGTTGATGTTGGGTGTCTTCCTCTGTTGCTCTCTACCTTATTTTTTAAAAATTATTTATGTGCTCACTTCAGCAGGACATATACTAAAATTGAAACAATATAGAGAAGATTAGTATGGCCCCTGATCAAGGATGATACCCATATTTGTGAAGCATTTCATATTTTGCCAGGCATGGTGGCATACACTTTTAATCCTACCAGGATAATCATATTAAAATCTGTGCTCCTAAAGAAGCTAGTCAAGAAGACCCTGGGTAAGATGCTCAATCCTTATTCAGAAAGGCAAATGGGATGGACATCAGAAGAGGATGAAAACAAGGAACAAGACGGGAGCCTATCACAGAGGGACTCTGAAAGACTCTATGCAGCAGGGTATCAAAGCAGATGATGAGAATCATAGCCAAACTTTGGGTAGAGTGCAGAGAATCTTATGAAAGAAGGGAGAGATAGAAAGATCTGGAGGAGACAGGAGCTCCACAAGGAGACCAACAGAATCAAAAAATCTTGGCCCAGGAGCCTTTTCTGAGACTGATATTCCAAACAAGTACCATGCATGGAGATAACTTAGAACCCCTGCTCAGACGTAGCCCATGGCAGCTCAGTATTCAAGAGGGTTCCCTAGTAATGGGAACAGGGCCTGTCTCTGACATGAACTCAGTGGCTAGACCTTTGATCACCTCCCCCTGAGGTGGGGAACAGCCTTACCAGCCATAGAGGAAGACAATGCAGCCAGTCCTAATGAGACCTGATAGGCTAGGGTCAAATGGAAGGGGAGGAGGACCTCCTCTATCAGTGGACTAGGGGAGGGACATAGGAGAAGAGGTAGAGAAGGTGGGGTTGGGAGGGGCTGAGGGAGGGAGCTACAGCTGGGATACAAAGTGAATAAACTGTAATTAATAAAAAAAAATAAAAAAAAAATCCTACCACTAGGGAGGCATAAGTAGAGAGATGTTTGTGAGTTCAAGGCCAGCCAGGTCTACAAAGTGAGTCCAGGATAGCCAGGGCTACACAGAGAAATCCTGCCTCAAAAAACAAAGCAAACAAAAAAATTATTTCCTTATTCTTCTCTCGTATATTACACCAACTGCACTTGCCCCCTTTCCTCTCCTCCCAACCTCCTCCCCTTGCAGATCCCTTCTCGGCCAGATTCCCCCCTCCTTCTTTTCCTTTCAGGAAAGGGCAGGCCTCCCAGGGATAGCAACCAAACATGGCCTATCAGTTGCAATAGGCCTGGGCAGGTGTCAAGGCTGGACAAGACAACACAGCAGGAGGAAAAGGAGGGTCCCCATTTGGGGAACCCTCTCCCACTCTTAGGAGTCCCACAAGAGCACCGAGCTACACAGCCATAACATATATGTAGAGGACATAGGTCAGACCCATCCAGGCCCCCTGCTTGTCACTCGGTCAGCCCCTAAGAGCCCGGATAGCTGATTCTGTGGGCCATGTTCTTGTGTCCACCACCTTCACTTTTTGAGTCAGGTCTCTTTACTGAGCCTGGAGCTGTCATTTGGGCTAGACTGGCTATCCAGCCAGTGCCCGGGATCCTTCTGTTTCTGCTTCCACCCAGTGTTGGGGTTACAGACAGGAGACACTGTGCCTGGCCTCTGTGTGGATGCTGAAGGTCTGAATTCAAGCCCTGATGCCTAATCAACTGAGCCATCTCCTCAGCCTTAACCCCCTGATTTAAGTTAATAAGATTAAAAGAAGCTGATTCTGGTGGGGCAGGCCTGCAAATCTTAGGTACTGGGGAGGTTGAGGCAGAAGAATGGTAGGCTCAAGAGCTCCCTGGTAACTTAACACCTTGCTTCAAAATGAAGAAAAGCATAAAAGGGCAGAATATGCAGCACAGGGGTAGAGTACCTGTCTAGCAAGCGTGAGGCCCTCAGTTCAATCCCCAGTACTGAGGGCTGGGGTGCGGGTGGCCAGAGTTCACGTTTCCGGCACTGAGCTGCAGAGACCATCATTCACTGGCAGAACGAACAGCCATGTCTCACATACCCCGGCCCACAGGTCCTAACTACATGTATCATATGCCCCTCACTGTTCTCTTGTTTCCTTCTTGCCGTCTGCTCACCAACACTCTGAACCTCTCCCCTGACTTTAAGTCTATCTTTTAAAAGTTGTCTTGTACGTTTTCTCTTGAAATTCCCCTCAAGTGAGCGATCCAAACATGATTACCCGACGTTCCCTTCGCTTCGCTACTGGGGGTCAGCAGCACGCTGTAAAATGCTGCGGTATAATTTTCTTTATCTTGGTCAGAGTTACTAAATATCATGATTCTGGCGGCTCTCACCTCTTACCAATTTTAGACATTTCTTGTTCTTTTTTTTCATTCATTAATTAATTAATTTACTTTACTCTTCATCCCGACTGGAACTTCACCTTCCTCCTTTCCTCCCAGTCCCTGATCTCCCCTCTCCTCCTCGTATGTCCCTTCCCTTTCTCCTCAGGGAAGGGGAGGCCCCCCATGGATATCAGCCCACTTTGCCATATCAAGTTGCTGTAGGACTGGGCACATCTACTGAGGCTAGACAAGGCAGCCCAGATGGGGAAAAGGGATCCAAAAACAGTCCACAGCGTCTGAGACAGCCCCTGCTCCTGCTGTTAGCAGTCCCACAAGAGGTCCAAGCTGTAGACTTGTTACATATGTTTAAGGGGCCTAGGTCTGTCCCACGCATGCTCTCTGGTTGGTGGTTCAGTCTCTGTGAGCCCCTTTGGGCCCAGGTTAAATATTTTGTGGTGCTTAAGATGGAACCCAGGGTTGTTTCCAGATTCTTCCTATTATAAATAAAGCTGCAACGAACACGGTTGAGCAAATATCTTTGTTGTACACTTGAGCATATTTTGGATATATGCCTAGGATTTTGAGGAAGAGCTATTCCTAATTGTCTAAGAAAGCACCAGATTGATTTCCAAAGTGGTTGTACAAGGTTATAGTCCCACCAGCAATGGAGTAGGGTTTCCCTTTCTCCACATCCTCTTCAGCATATGTTGTCACTTGAGTTTTTGATCTTGTCATTCTGATGAGTATAATTTAGAAATTTATTGTTTTTTCATTAATTAATTGATGAATTAATTTGTATTTCCCTGATTTGATTTGCATTTCCCTGATGACTAAGAATGTTGAGCATTTCTTTAAGTGTTTCTCTGCCATTTGATATTCCTCTAATTGAGAATTCTCTGTTTAGCTCTATCCCATTTTAAAGTTAGATTACTTGATTTGTTGCTTTTTAACTTCTGAGTTCTTTATATATTCTGGATATTAGCCTTCTGTCAGATACAGGGTTGGTGAAGATCCTTTCCCAATCTGTAGGTAGTCGTATTGTTCTGATGACAGTGTCCTTTGCTTTATTTGCTTTTCAGTTTCACGAGGTCCCATTTATTGATTGTTGCTCTTAGAGCCTGAGCTATTGGTGTTGTATTCAGAAAGTTGTCTCTTATGCCAATGAGTTCAAGGCTCTTCTCCACTTTTTCTTCTAACAGATTTAGTGTTTCTGGTTTTATGTTGAGGTCTTTGATCTACTTGAACTTTAGTTTGTGCAGGGTGATAAATATAGATCTATTTGCATTTTCTATATGTAGATACCCAGTTAGACCAGCACCATTTGTTGAAGATGCTATCTTTTTTTCTTTGTATGGTTTTGACTTCTTTGTCAAAAATCAAGTATCCATAGATGTGTGGGTTTATTTTTGGGTCTTCTATTCGATTCCATTGATACACCCTTCTATTTTTATGTCAGTACCATGCAACTTTTTGTTTGTTTGTTTTGTTTTACTATTGATCTGTATTCCAGCTTGAGATCAGGGATGGAGATACCTCCAGACAATCTGTTGTTGTACAGGATTTTTTTTTTTAGCAATTCTGATTTTTTTTATTAAATTTTTATTCTTTATATTAATTACAGTTTATTCACATTATATCCTAACTGTAGCTCCTTGCCTCATTCCTTCCCAATCCCATCCTCCCTCCCTCATCTCCTCCCATGCCACTCTCCAAGTCCACTGATAGGGAAGATCCTCCTCTTCTTCCATCTGACCCTAGCTTATCAGGTCTCATCAGGACTGGCTGGATTGTCCTCCTCTGTGGCCTGGCAAGGCTGCTCCCCCCCTCAGGGAGAGGTGATCAAAGAACCAGCCACTGAGTTCATGTCAGAGACAGTCCCTGTTCCCCTTACTAGGTACCCACTTGGATACTGAGCTGCTGTGGGCTACATCTGAGCAGGGGTTCTAGGTTATCTCCATGCATGGTCCTTGGTTGGAGTATCAGTCTCAGAAAAGACCACTGGGCCCAGACTTTTTGGTTCTGTTGTTCTCCTTGTGAAACTCTTGTCTTCTCCAGGTTTTACTATATCCCCCTTCTTTCAAAAGATTCCCTGTACTCTGCCCAAAGTTTGTTTGAGTCTCCGCATCTGCTTTGATACACTGCTGGGTAGAGTCTTTCAGAGGTCCTCCGTGGTAGGCTCCTGTCCTGTTTCCTGTTTTCTCCTTTTTCCAATGTTCATCCCATTTGTCTTTCTGAGTGAGGATTGAGCATCTTACCCATGATCCTCTTTCTTCCTTAGCTTCTTTAAGTGTACAGATTTTAGTATGTTTATCCTGTATTATATGTCTAATATCCACTTATAAGTGAGTATATACCATGTATGTCTTTCTGCTTTGTGCTCAGAACTGGGTCTTGGTGTGTCCTGTGCTGACTTTGGTCCTTTCATTCTTTTTTTAAAAATATTTTTTATTTATATTAATTACACTTTATTCACGTTGTATCCCCCCCTATAGCTCTCTCCCTCCTTCCCTCCCAATCCCACTCTCCCTTCCCCTTCTCCACCCATGTCTCTTCCCAAGTCCACTGATGAGGGAGGTCCTCATCTCCTTCCTTCTGATCCTAGTCTATCAGGTCTCATCAGGAGTGGCTGCATTGTCTTCCCCTGTGGCCTGGTAAGGCTGCTCCCCCCTCAGGGGGAGGTGATCAAAGAGCAGACCAATCAATTCATGTCAGAGACAGTCCCTGTTCCCATTACTATGGAACCCACTTGGACACTGAACTGTCATGGGCTACATCTGTGTAGGGGTTCTAGGTTATCTCTGAGAATGTTCCTTGGTTGGAGAATCAGTCTGAGAAAATACTCCTGTGCTCAGATTTTTTGGTTCTGTTGCTCTCCTTGTGGA